AGGACAGTGCTATCTATCTTTTGCCTATTTTCATTTCCTGTAAGTTACCTTCTAATGTGGAAATTGCTTACATATTATTAAACACATTCTCCGCATGCAAAGATTAGTGAACTTCTCCCATGGAGCACGCTACAGCGAAAACCATCTGATTGGTACTTAAGGAGTTTTATATTTTGATGCTGTCTGTCCATCCAGCTGACCAGGAGGTTAGACAAAAATACCAGAAGGTCTGTCTGGATGGGAAGATAGCTCCTGGCAAAACTCAAACAGAAAAAGAAAACATGCAGATGATTTGAGCTGGAAGAAATACAGACACCTTTAAGCCTGCAAAGTCACTGTTAGGAAAGCCATCTGAATTTGGCAAGAGTTGTCAAAGGAAACAAAGACTTCTATAATGATAAAGGTGGCAAAAAGGGAAGGCTAGGGAAAATGTGGGCCTGATAACACTCAGCTATCCTGGACATGAATAAATCTTGGGCCCTGATGAAGAGTCACTTTTGACCAACTTTATAAACTCCTATGATTAAATGACTTCTTGGTACAAGGAGAAAGAACTGGATATTGTTTACCTAGGCTTTCGGTAAGGCCTTTGACACTATCTCCTATAGAGAAGCTAGTGCAGCATGGTTGGGATGAACAGTGGGGAGTTTTAAAAACAAGCTGAGTGGCTGGAGACAGAGGCCATTGGCATAGCTGTGATAAAAGTCATGAAATCCTAATACTTATAGTTTCCTGTGATTTCATTTCAGCCTTCATTTATAGACAAAATAAAACAGACAAATTTCTGATGTTCTTTCATTTGTATTGGTGCTCAGTTATTTCTACAAACAAGCACTTAATGTGTTTTCAATTACACAGTCCAAATGTTACACTATTCTTATACTGAATTCAAACATAGCATTTTCACTTTAAAGTAATTAGATAGAGAAGAAATAAGACCTTATATGTCTGCATTTAACATGAATTCTAATGTTGTTTTAAAGTAGTGCAGAGGAATTCATTATTGAAGAAGCATTTAGGAAGAGTAGTTATCTATCCTGGAGACAGTCCTTACAGTGAGTTTACAGTGATGTGTCATAGGTCACTTCAGGGAATCTAACAGGAAAGAGGGGCTAAAAGAACAGACTCTTTAACAATGTTGCAATAGGACAAGGGGAAGTTATTTCAAACTAAAGAAGTGGAGATTTAATCTGGATATAAGGAAGTAGTTTTTTACAATAAAGGGTAACGAGCCACTAAAACAGTTTGCCCGGAGAGATGGTGGTAGCCCCGTCCCCAGAGGAATTCAGGATCCCTCATCAGCTGGATGAGGCTCCAATCAACCTGATCTAGCCGTAGATGTCTCCATTTATTGCAGGGGAGTTTGATTAGATGACATTTTATGGTCCCTTTCAACTCAAACTATTCTATGATTCTATGATTATCCTTTTCCTACACATGCATTCCTGCTGTTGCTTTCACTTAGGCCCCAGAAATTGTCTTAGTCAGTCGGTTCAAGATCACCACCAAGCTCCAGAAAAGGAAAGTGGGCAGGAAAATAAATATTATTATTCACACTAGATAGGTAGGAAGCAACATCTACCTACTAAACTGCTTAGATTCTACAGTGATAAATAGTTTAGCAAATTATTAATTTGTTCTTATGTCAAAATTGTGCAAAGTAATGAACAAGTTTCAAATAACTGACAGACCAATATATTCATTTGTATTTTTTACTTACTCTATTTTGGGGTCTAAAAAACTTTGGCTGCAGCTAAAGCTCAGCTGTTCGATGAAAACAAAGAATTTCCCTAATGTTTCTCCTAATGCAAGTACTGTTGTAGCTCTATCTCATCCTTTTACCTCTTAACCCATACTAGCAGAAGGATTTGGTCTCCCTCTAAAACACAGATGGCTACAGTCTGCACTGTACATTCAAAACATTCAGTCACTTCAAAACCTGTCCTCATCCTGGAGTCACAGATTGCTTTCAACTGAGAGTCAATTTTTTGTGAATTGGAAAATTTTGTTGTAATCTGACTGAACAGCCAGAAACACAATTATACTCTATGAAGAAAAGATTGTATACTACTGTGCTATTTAGAATGTGCTGTGGGGCTTTCCATGAACTTCTAAGTGGCAGCTTATAAATATTATTTGTTTCTTTTATCTTGGGATGTCTCTTTTTTATGTAAAGATCAAGCTTTAAGAGACCCACTGGAAAGCAATGCCTTTACTTCTATATACCTAAGGGGAGCTTTCAAAAACTACTCCTGATTGTTTGACAGGAGAATAAGCTCATACCAGTGTTTGTTTTCGCTGTCATTATCTGAAGAAAATTTGATGTTCCAATTGTGAATCTAAAGGTTGTTCCTTAGCTTTCTATTTCATTCTATTTCTGCTTAACAGAACTGTTTTTGTCTTCCTTGAACATTTCTTCTTTAATAAGTCTTGTCTTCGCGTGGTGTTAACTTTTAATTCTGTCTTTTGATAATAGAAATTAAAATGTCACTGCAGCCAGAAATTTGATGTCTGAATTGAGTATGTCATGGTTAAATTTTCTGGAGTTCTAAAAACAAAGTATTTTTGTGTCAGAAAATGTATGTTTGTTTAAAGCAAGGTATACTGAATTTAGAAATTTTGCTTTGGAAAGGCACACAACATTCTGGTATTCTGGTAATAGTAGTGTATAATGTTTATACATTTTTGACTGTCACTAAATACATAAGTTATGTAAAATACTTAGTAGACATGTGGCTCTATCTATAACATATATAAGGTATAGATTGAAACAAAGCATTCCAATAAACTTTCCATTGATTCAGACTTTGACTAGGAATTTCATCCCTTACATGTTTTTCCATTTTATTTATTTATTTATTTCCTGGGACCTGCCTTATACTTTTTAATTGAAAGTGAATAACAGAAATATAGTTTTACTTAAAATATTAAAATATGTTTTTCTTTCATTTTCTTCCATCTTTTTATGTGTAGGATGTTACTGTATGAAATGATCTGTTATTGCATCATAATTCATGAATGATTATGCTTTCCACTGACAATTAGATTGAAATAAAATCATTAGAAATCATTTGGGGGTTTGTGCATTGAAAGATTAATTGGTAAAACATAGCTATGATCTCTTTCAGACAGAAATTTAGCGAACTAATTCATTATGATTTTCTTGTAAATTAATACTTTAGTAAGTGAAAGGTTACTTTTTTCTGGTGGAATTGTAATGTGATCTCCAACTGCTGTTTGCCAATGTGTAAACATGAGTAACTAGAAGTGTAGATGAACTTGTGACATTTCTGATAAATTTTGTAGTTATTAGAGGTAACTGAAGTCTACTGTCTGTGCTCAAATTATGCTTCCACTTCTGCACTCTGAAAAGGTGCTGGATAGACCATTAAAAGTTGATAATATAGATTTAAGTAGTTGTGGAATTTATTTAAGCAAAGCGTTTAAATGAAAATGGAACAGGGTAGTAACATTTGATTCTTGAAATCATACAGAATTTATATGATGCATAATGTAAAATAGAGATGTCTGTAGAAATAGTGATAGTGATAGTTTTAATTTAATGATTGGACTTCATCTATAAACAATGAAATTATAACGAGCATTTCAGTTTAAGTTTCTTTTTTTGTTTGTTTGTTTTATACCTGTGGATATGAATTTGAGCCTCTGTATATGGGTTAGAGATTCGTGTACATGGATATCCTATATTTTGGCTTAGGTATGTATGAACTAAATGAAATCTTAGTACTTATGCCTTAGTATAACCTGTACAGAGTAGGAAGAAATACTCACAGAATTGTAACATTGTTTGATGTCATGGTTTTATGATTTTTGGTTAATGGTATTCCACATTGTAACATCATGTAGTGCGTGGGAGTTAAACTGTTCATGCTCCAGTTCTGGGCACCTGTCCAGAAGAGAAGAATTACATACCTCAGGGGGCTTTGTGGTTAGAGAGGAGATATAACCCCTGGCAAGGTCACCTGATGTCCCTTTTTTCCTTCAGCTCTGCTCTCTGCTTCTTGTCCTGACTATATGCATTGCTTCAGCATTAGCGTAAGGCCTCCAGCTTTTGGACAATCTTTCCCTCTCATTGTATTTGATTTATTAGCTTCAACTCTAATCATATTGTATTATAGTGTGTTATCTTGGATTCTGATGCTATATTTAGTAAATTAGTTTGTTTCTCCTCAGACCATTGCCGATGTTTTTAATTATTTTGGGGTCCCCTGTTTCCCTTTTCCAAAGGCTTGGATTCACAAAATCCCTTCACGTTACAAGTTACGGAATGGGCCAAACCAGCCTGTAAACCACTGACATTCAACCTGCAAGAGACCTTAGAGACTACCCAACTCCAGCTCCTTCCTGTGGCAGAGTTGTCACCCTTTGGATCACCTATTGTAGTTCTTCTTACTCAGGGTTCCATCCAACTTGGTCTTCAACACCTCCAAGGGGCATCCCCATCTTCTCTGAGCAACATCTCCCAGTGCATCACAACCCTCTGAGTAAAGAACATTCCCCCTAACTTCTAATCTAAATCCACATTTGTTTAGCTAAAAGAGTGCAAAAGGAGAAAAGCAATACAGTTTCCCTCTTCGCAAATAGAAATACTAGTTGTAGAGACAGAACTGTAGTTTGTGTAAAAACTATGGCTTAGGTTTTTTCTTCTATCAGTGAGAAACTACATTAGTCCTTCCTTCAAGGAAGATTGGTAATCCACTAGTTTTTAATAACTCAGATCTTATTTTACTCTACTATAAGGAAAAACAAACAAAGAAAAATCAGCAATAAGATAAAAAAGAAATTTGAAGAAAATAAGACTGTATGGGAACTGTTAAGACACAGCCTGAACCAGTGTGTGAGCACCAGCTGAAGGGGTGTAGCCAACCCTGGGATCAAAGGTGGAAGCCATTCACCCATTTGATTGAATACCTGGCTCCACCCTTCCCTAACCTTATGTAAGGGCTGGTGGCTGTAACAGAGAGATCTTTATTTGGAGAGTAATTTCCTTTGGGGTATCTGGTGAGCCCTGATCCTCTCAAATTGGTAAGTGTATTTTATTTCATTTTATCTATTTATTTATTTATTTTTAAAGTAGCTGTATCTGCTTTATGATCTCTATGAACGCTATATACTTGATAGCGAAATAACTGGATTATTACAGACCTAGTACTGGAAGGCAAGAATGTCCTGTGTAAAAATATTCAGCTTTTATTGACAAAGTATAATGAAAGTGTGGTTTCTGGAGTGTGTCTATAGAGCATAAACAATTTTTATCTCTTCTGTAGCTTTTGTTTTGGTTCACAATGGTTTGTACTCTGCTAGTCTCCTTGGTTTTTCAGATGGTTTTCTTTTCAACTACTGTATCTGTACTTTTTAAGATGTAGCAAGCATACACTTTTATGATTTGGTGACACAATTCTTTTGACTTTAACTTTGCATATATCACGCTTATTGGTGTAATGGGGGAGTTAATAGTCAAAAAAGCAGGAATTTCTATGAACTTTTCCAGTGTTTCCAGAAAAGAATATATTAGAGAAAAAAATCTCTTAAGAATACCGCTGCAGAAATACATAAAAATACTACGTTAGGTGACACAGAAACATATCTTTGATTTCTTCTCACTAAAAATGAAGGCTGATAAATATTTAAGGATGCTGTAACAGGTACAAGTGGAATCCTGAATATTGAATCAGTTTTCAGTCAAGAAACAGAAATAATGAAGATCTGTGTCACTATAGTTCCATGTCCTTGTTAATGCTTTATAAGGAGTCAGTGATAGACAAGTAGGATTTCTCCACTATAGTGAATGTCACTAATTAAATAACATAAATCACCTCCAGTGCATATTTTTAAGTTATTTTTAACTTCTTCAAGGAAACGAGAAGCAACAAGTAGTGCTGCAATTCAGTCACTCATTGTCTAGAACTAGTACTATAAGAATGGTGTTTCTAGGTTTAACTGTGCCAGTGGTTTTTGCTATTGTCAAGAAAACCAGTGAAGTCTACTTTAAAATGTGGCAGTTCTTATCTGAAAAAAAGTTTGAATATTTTTCATCATTGTTTTTGCTCTCTGAAATGAACTAAAACACACAGAAAGCATTAATATTATTTAACTTGTGTAGAGAAACCCATCTACGTAAGAAATACAAAGGAAAAATAATGGTGCAAAAAACATCCAGAATTGAACTCTTGCATCTGTGGGTTGTAATGCAACAGAGTTCACCCAGTCCTAAGCTCCATGAATAAGCTGCCTGTTACTTGTTGTTGTTTTTTAAATCATTTTAATTGGTAAAGGATTAGTGGGAGGAATTTTCTTAAAGAAGGTAGGGCACTAGATACCAATTAAAATTCAAGTCATCTGAATAATAGGGTATAAATTGATTAGTAATTCTATATAACATTGTAAGCAGTTTTCCTCTACAGGAGTTAAGCTATTGAGCAAAACAAGCTGCATTTGTTTGTTTGCTAGAGTAAAGCCTTTCTAGTAAGGAACATGAATCTTCAGGTGTCTGGAGAGACTAAATCCATGTTGTTGCTTCTTTTTCTCATTCATATAACTAAGAAGAAATTGTCATTTATCAACATTTTTGACAAATGCGGGTACATACTGAACTGACATTGTAGATCTTAAACACAGTAAGAGAAGAAAACCTCAGAATTGCCCTACTGAAACAGTCAGACATTTTTGCAAGTTTTTGAGAATACCGTGAAGTCAATAAATCTGATTAAATACTTCACTTAAGCAATACAAAGGTATAAGAACTTGTGTGAGGGGCTGCAATAGACTTTTAGATGTTGTTTAGTGGAGAAAGTCTTCTGTTCGTATCTAAAAAATAAACAATGTGGGGAAAAAAAGGAAATTGCATTGACCCTTCACAGCTAAACATCTGTAAAAACATAAAATTTGAGCTAGAACTTCACTGCTGTTGCTCAGTTATCATGTTTTCAAAAGGCTATGGGAAGTTTATAGCACACATGTTCAAATATCTGTTGGATGAAGTGAAGCTTTTGGTTGAGTCTGAACCTTGAAAATCTAGAAAAATTATTACCTGACAATTTGACAAATTGTATGAGGCTCCATTTTACTCTTATTTGAAAAAGTAATATAAAACTCTCTATCTAAGGACATTTGGACATTGTGTCTTCTTCTGTTGTAAATAAATATTTGGCCTTAATGTTAGCTCTGTTACTTGTTTAATTTACTGAAACTGAAACACAGCCTTCTAGTTTTTAGTCTTACTTGATACTCATGCCATCTATTGTGTCTTATAAATACTGGACGCTGTTTTTCTTTTGCATAGCATATGTGTGCTTTCACATGTTCAAATTTGCCCATGAGAGATTTCATACTCTTCCCTCTTCCAGAGAAATACTGAACTCAGGACTTTAGGACCAGGTGTTGTTAGAAAATGAATTTCCTGGCTGCTTTCTTATTTGCAGCATCATTGCTGGCTTTTGAGTGTGAAATGAAGCTCCAATTAACTCTTATTAGTTTTTTCTAATTTCTCTTCGTCTACCTTGTATTCCTTTTGTTTGAATACTATCTTGATTAGTTACTTCTTATAAAGAACTCTTATAATGTCTCTGTAACCGTCATCTTCTAGAGATGGGTTCATATGGTTCTGTTATCACTGCATACCCTTTCAGCAAGTTGTGCTCTGTATTGTTTTCTGGTAAAATAATTCCATTGCATTGATATAGATGTTCAAGGCAATTAGAAGTAAGTAGTCCTTAGCAGAAGTTACGAATAGCTTTATAAAGTGAAGCTGAGAAGTTCAGTATCACTGAAGCTAAAAAATAAAAAGGGCAATTGGTTTCTGCACTTGTCTGTTATGTTTCCTTTAAGTCAACTTTAGTGAAGTGGTTGATTCTCAATAAAAAGATCTTTGTTCTTACATTTATTTTGAACTTTTTAGATATGATACCTTATGTTATCTGTTTTTTAACTAAGGCATTGAGAAATGATGCTTACAAGCAATAAACATTTATAAAAAACAAAATGGTTTTCTAACAATGACAAAACTGTCAATGGCCTGTTAAATTTTTTAAAAGTAGCATATGCTACTTTTTCTCTCCTTATACCCTTTGAATGAAATTCTAAAAATGTATAAGGAATGTAAAGAAGTACCTAGAGGCTGTACCTCTTGAACTGTAGGTAATTTATTTGACAAAAGAAAGACAACTTTTCTTCTTTTTATAATTTTTCTTGGTAAGCCGCACATGATGGTGTGTGTAGTGGGATTAAAAATTCTATATACACTCTTGCTACACTTCACATATCTTTATAAAGTTATTTAGTAGGATTTAAATTGAGTATGTTTCTTTAGACACTTGAAAGTGGTAAATGATGTTGACACATTTTTACTTTATGAATTTGTGAAATCATAGTCACATACACATCTGTTGAAGATCTGCTATGAAGATTGCCTGATAGTAGCATTTTTTCTAAAGTGCTCTATTTATGAGTTTCCTTAGATTGCATTTTAAGAGAATATCTCACTGCCCACATGACATTCAGTTTTCTAATTCGCTTTTAATAAGGCAACCCTTTTCAGAGATTTATTTGCTTAAGATAATGAGGTAGGATTACAGAGGAATTAACAGCAATGCTATTAACTTTTTTCCTTCCTTGGATCTAGCCTTATGCTCTCAGTTTAAAGTAAGCTGAGATTTATTTTTCCTAGGTTACACAACAAATTCAAGACAAGAAGACAAAAAGGCAGCGAGCTAATAATTCTTCAGAAGAATTAAGTGACTATCTTTGAGGTATGTTCATTTAAAAATTGCTGTTAAACATATATTATTCTTGCTGTTATATGAGTGCTTTTGAATGTTAGTGACTTTCTCACATCTTCAAATGTTTAATTTCAAAATAAGTATTTCACTTCAAAATATGCCTTTTCCTCCTCTATTTTTGAAAAGCATGGGAATTAATTAAATAGAAATTTGCTTTTCTTTTATCTGATGCTATTTTATATTTCTATATACAAAACTAGATAGTCAAATACAAATTAAGAAATCTAGAGTTCTATCTTCTTTGTGACTTCTCTTTTACAGTTTTCTGTGTACCATAGTTGCTGTGGGAGAAAAATAAAAAAAAAAAAAAAAAGCTATAAGCTCTTCCCATTTTGTGTGCAATATGCATTTCTGTTTTCTAAATAGGTATAATAAACACTTCTCAGTTTGATATAATGGAAAGGAAATGATAACAAAAATATTTACAAATAATTAAGTAGAGGAGACAACAGAAAGTCATCTGTAGTTTGACTGAATAATGGAGATCATTCTAAGAGAACTTACCTGCTTTTGAGCTGCTTTTCTGCAAGTCTAAAACCAGCCTCTCTAGTTGTTCATCAGCTGCATGAATTGTTTGAAGTCATAAGTTGTATTCTATGTTTGTAAATCTACTTTTAATTAATCAAATTGATGCTAATTTTGTTTTAGGTTTAATTTTTACTTTGTTTAGGATTGTTAACCTATGAACAGACAGCAAATTTTCTTCATACTGTCAAAAATGTTGGATATTATTTTGATTACAATTAGGAAGTATTTATGCCTGGGTTACATTTTTGGAACTTCTTCCAGTCATAGTTTTTTTGTAATAATATATCCAGTTTCAAAGGATAACTTACTTTCTCTTGAAGACACTTTCTTTCACAGAAATACTGCTTATGATTCTTTCTGTCTTCACCTGAATCTTATTTCTTTTTGCCAAATGTGCATCTCTTCAGAGTGGACTGTGTTCTGTCTATGTTCCCATCAAAATCTTTGTAGACTTGTTAATTTTTTACTTGGCAGGAAACCACATAGAAATTGTAACTAATGACACAGACTTCTCATGGGCTATTAAATAATGCAAGCCACTACTGTAACACATTTAAGTTAAAAATGTCCTTCTGCTTAAAGAAGTATCAAAATCAAAGAAGAACAAGAATGATCACAATGCCAGGAAAAAAAAACCTGATACTTTCTTCTTCCTTGGAAGGCCATATTTATTTCAGCTTCCTTTAACAACTATGTGCCTGTTCAAGACAGTTGATCTTTAGGATCCTTTCTTTTTGCTTTGCTTTTGGTGCTTAGTAACAGGTCTGTGGCCTTTGAAGACAAAAAGTTGAGTTCTCTGAACTCTTTTTGTATGATGTCATTCACAATTCAGAACACTTTCCCGCCTTTTTAATCACAAGTACTTCTCTTTTAGTGCCAATCTTATTTCCTTGCAGAAATAGTATTTGAGGTACTGTAATAAATGACCTGGGAGAAATCAGCGTATACACATTTAACCTATCATTCTCTTATCTGCATGCAAATTTAAATTTTTTTATCAGAAAAAGTTGTTTTTGAATCTTAGATGAGTCTCTGCATATATATCAGTGACATTTCAGAGAAACGCTTGTTGATAAATAAATCTCTTTTGTCTTTTCATGACTTCCATTTAGATACATACTTGTTCTCTATAATGCAGTTTGTCTCACAAATTGTTTTTGGTTTTAAGGATGGAAACTCGTAGCCTAATTGTTAAATACATGTAGCTTTCAGAACTAAATACTCTTCTATTTAGTTATTACTTTTTTTTTTTTTTAAGAAGAAAATTTTATTTTACTAGGTCTTCTGAAGCAAGACAGCAAGTATAACATTAAACAGTATTTGATCAGTAGATACTTATAAATTTGATATTTTGTCCAATCTTATTCCTCTATTTTCTCAAAAATTGTTCTATTAGATAATTTTCTATATGAATCTTCACTTTCTGTTGTGATGAGAGAATTATAAAGCACCAGACAAACTAGTATGTTTTGTTTATTTTACTTCATAACATGTCTAGCCTTTCTCATTCAATCCTGCTGGATTACTTAATCATGATTTGTTCAACGGTTCTGTCACTTCATAGGTTTGCCTGATTGACAGCTTATATTTCCTTAGTTGAAATCTGTTGTTTTTATTTGTACCATCAGTTCTCCAATAGCAAAAAAAAACAAAAACAAAAACCAAAACCCTAAGTGTTTTGTATGCTTCTAGCTAATTTAGTCTCAGCTTCTTTCCACGTAGCCTGTATGGTTCCATAAGGAAAAGCTCTGAAGCTTTTTCCTCATGAGATTTGTTTTCCTGTGTGAATTCAGTGGGATGTGTTTTTTATTCTGGGACTATAGTAATAGAACAACAAGGCTACAAGTGAAATGCAGCAGCTGGTAGAGCCAGATGTTGTACAAAAAGGGGAAGAGTATAAACTGCGTATTCAAAGGAAGCACCGCTTAGGATTCCTGGTAGAGGTGGCTAAGCTGCCAGCCTCAGCTTGCAGAATCTGGGAGGCCTCTTTGCATGCTGGGGCTGCAGAGATGTTCAGTGATAAGGACAAGTGTGTACTTGTTTGCTAGACAGGCTTTGCTGAGGCCTTCTTGTGGCACCAAGCCCTGGATGGTGAGCCAGCAGAGCCCCAGTGCTCCATGATAGGGCAAGGGCTGTGATGGTGGTTAAGCTGCAGGAGTCATCCAATTTGAAGCAGCAGAGTAAAAGAGATGAGTTTATTTCTTGCATGAAAATCATGGGTTTGATGAGATCTAATCAGCACGGGTAGGTCATGTCGTTCCTTGAAGTCTGATTACAATTGGTTCATTCCGGTGCCTGCTACCCTACTATTTGTATTTGCATGATGTCTAATTTTGTTTATATGAATATTCAAAATATGACAGATCAAGAAGGACACAGCTTTAAATGTCTACTACCAGTTTTCACTGGATTTGTATCACTGTAAAACTGCCTGATGATGAATAGAGAAGTTTCTTTCTTCCAAATACTTTAAAATTACAGATCTGGCTCACACTCAGTGGAATATTTCTGTTTACTTTTAATGGATTCGTTTTCAAATGCTGAAACTGTCCCAGTTCTTCTGATAACATTCCAACTATCTATAGATAGCACACAATTAACTTGAGGGGAAAAAAAGGGAAAGCCAGGAAGGAAATATGTGCAATGCATAAACTGTCTTTTTCTTTTCATGTGTGTTCTGTGTCGATTTTAATGGGTTTGTAATTAGGTCGCAGGATTGATTGATATCAGCACTTAGCTTCCTAGGTGATGTCACCCTAGTGGGGATTATGTTCACACTGGAAAATAACTAAATTAGTTGTAGACTTGACACTGGATAAATTATTTGTCAGGAAATTAAGACTAACAGGAAGGAAGAGCTGAGGGAATATGAGCAAAGAATGTGGTTATTCTTGTAACCAATGTATGACACCGGTTAGTCTAAAAAAGCAATGGCAGTACTAGGCTGAGATGGGAACAGCCTAAGTGAAATGATGGGGTTCTTCAAATTCTTAATCAGGAACGTTAAGACAGAATGCTAGAGAGTGGAAAATAAACACCTGAGATGCAAGGAGTAAGCTATAATGGTGGCTGACCAAATGCACGGAGACCTTGGCATGAGGGAAACACAATGAATGACCCAAAAACATATAATTCAATGACATTATGAAATGGAAAGATGAGAAGATTGTCTTATGAACTTTCTGTGTATAGGAATATCTATAAATGCAGATTACTTTAAGAATGTGAAGAGCTTTTCCCAGAAATCTTAGATTTTGATACACAGATTTCTCAGAACATGACTTGTGTGATTATAGAATAACTTGTAGCTAAAAAATAAGACTAAAGAAGTTTGCATTCATTTTTTTTCTATCCAGTATATAGTGACAGTAACTGCTGTTTGTTGTGAGGTGATCTTTACTGAGAAATAGGTTGTGAGGGACATGGCTCTGGAAATGGCAAAGGTAGGCTGTGAGAACAAAGCGAACGAAACTTGTTGAATTTTCTGGTGGATGATAATGGCATAAGAGATTTGTTCAAGCTTAGTTAAAACTTATCTGACACGTCATTTTTCCTGTTCATTAATGCAGATGAGGAAAATCCTCATACGTATGTCTGCAATAAGTAACAGTTGACTATTACATATATTTTCAAATAAATTATGTATGGTACTGGAAATACTTTGGTGTTATTTCATACTACTTTTCAGTTGTTGTATATATTTTTCCATTTATTTTTGAGCCTTTTGAAGCCCACTGATATGATTTTTGTTTTAACTGTGTTGATTTTCAAGTTATTTCTGTAGAGAATTCTTTGTGTTCGGTTTCTTTGAGGAGGTAGCAGGGATGTCCTGTGAAATCCTGCAAATAGTAACAGTGCTTGAAAATTCATCATACTTGTCATTAGCCAGAAGTTCTACCCTACTTCTTTCTGGAGTTCAAACTGGGAGTTGGAAGTTGGATTGTGAGACAGCTGCTCCTCAGAACTTCCAGTCGTACAGCAGTCTCAATGGGTGAAACTGGGATAAGTACCAAGCTTTGTACAGTGTGATGAGAGTAATACAAATGTTTGGTTATTTTTCTTTTAAGATGAGAGTTTAAATAATCTTCACAGGAAGAGCTATACAGGCATCACTGTTAGTTCCATTGCTATAAGATTCAGAAATATACAGGACCATTTTGTGGAAATATTAACCCTGACTTTTTTTCCTCAAACGTTTAAATTCTGAACAGGAAGATATTTTTCTTTTATCATCTTCCTTTGCATTTGAAGTGTGTGTGGTCTCATGGGAGAATCATTGTTCTTTGTCAGTCGTCAATATCCCTTGGTCTGCTCAGATGTGATTTTACTCTTCTTTTACAAAACTTTATACAGGAGACCTTGTGCTAGTATCTCAGAAATAAAGAAAGCAGTCTGCTACTTTCAGGCAGGTATTTCTTCATATGTGCATTTGTCATTTTTTT